TCTTTTATTATGCGATTAACTTTCTATTAATACGTACTCAGTCAATAATGCTATGGATTTAGACTACAGTAGAGTTCGGATAATTATAAAATTAATTATATGTTAATATTAATCTTCTCTTTATATATATATATATATATATATATATATATAATATTTCATACATTAGTACTGCAAAAGAAAACAAACGATTATTTTTGTCTATATATAACAATTAATGCACCAAAATATATACTGAGATAAAAAAGAATAGTTTTTTCTTTTTGTCTCGATGGACATAATTCATACCAACCAAGACAATAAATAAGATCTTTTTAACTTGGTTTTGTTTGCAACCGAGAGACAAAAAGTATTTCATATAATTTATTTTTCTATTTTTTGTTGCCTTAGTTCAATGGAACCAAAGTAGTATGTGGTGGTTTAGACAACAGTTGTGGTCTAATCGAGGTGGTAGATATGTAATTTTTTTCTAATTTCTTTTTGCTTATGATGAGGTCTATTGTTTCGATTGTGACTAGAACCGATGTCATAAACTCCATTCTGTCTTGGTTATAATCACAACTGATGCATATTTTGCAGGTTTTTTTAAAAAAATAGACCTATTTTGAATCCTTACTATAGAAACATACCTGCTCATGCACAAAAAGTTTCCACAACACAAAAAAACAGTCCAGAAGTTTATTTTCAATGAAAATTAGAATGAACCATAATCAATTCAATGTATATAGAATTATAATTATAAATCAACTTTGTATTGATATGTTAACGTACAACTTACTATATCATAATAACTACATTGTCTTCAAATTTCTTATATAAAAAATAATTTGATTTTAATCTTTATTGTAAATAATATTATACACCAATTTACATTATCATCCAATTTTTAGACTTCTTAATATTATAAAATTTCATATCAAACTTAATTTTTTATTAAAGAAAATTTAATCTTCTTTTATATGATTAAACAATTTACATTAACAATACCATTGCAATTTATATGACCATTGCTATTCTTATGACCATTATATCAATCTAATAAGCAAATAACAGTATCATTGCTAGTCCTATGACTATTATATCAATCTTATAGCAATTCATTATCAAACACAGACAAACATGGAGGAGAGTTTGAAAAACTTATCAAACCAAGATGAAACGGTGAAGAACACCAAGAAAGAACAACGACATTGAGAAAAAAGAACATAAGTTCTTTTGTGAAAGAAAATGAAATTTCTACACTTTAGCATTTTTGGAAAAAAAATTAAGAAACTTTAAAAATATTACGATTTTTTTTAACTTTTTTATTATAAACTTACTTCAATAACTAAAATAATATTTTTATTTTATTTTTAAGATTTAGTTGCTTGGAGGAATAACGGAAACATATGTAAACAAGTTCAGAATATGAAGTGAAACCTCTTCCGTGAAAAAGTTGTTTCAAAGAATCCAAAGTAAGCTGAAAGTGATTTAAGGGGGATTGTTTTCAATAAATATTAAGTAATTCACTTCTAATTTTAAAAGTAAATTAAATGAAATAAGAATATAAGTTTAGTATATATTTAGTTTCAAGATAAAGGTGACGATGGCACATGAAGTGTTTGGTGAACTTTCATTGAGAAAGCTCTCCTAGCAAATGGGCCAGAAGAAAGGCCCACTTATCAAACTCCAATAAACGAAGTTCGATTCATTTCCTGATGGAATTTTATATTAATTTTGGTGTTGTTTTTATATTAAACTTTTAAAATATAAAGATGAATTTTTATGTTTTAAAATACATTAAAAACTTATTTAATTTGAAGGTTTAGTAAAAATATAACACAAAACACAACTTGCGTTTCATTTAAATTTAGATTTTCTGTTGAATTTTTGGTGTTATCCTTCTACATCATTCTTGTTTCAGATCCCCTCTCTCAACTTGCATAACTTTCAATATTTGGAGATCTGCTAAGCATAATTTTTTGTTTTTGAAAAATTTTAGACATTTCATTTTTTTCATAATTTTTTAATTTTATTTTAAGGATGGATAGACAATGTATCGTATGCTTATTATTCATCTGTCTGATGCTACTAAAAGAGAGAGATATACATATTATTAGTATCTTTGGACTAGAAGTTTGGCTCCATATTAGTAGAGCAAGGACAATTTACAAGCTAAACTTGAAGGCTTATGCAGAAAAAGGGAACTCCTTTGTCTTTGAAAGTGATTCTATCTTATGCAAAGCCAATTTTCCTAAGCCCTTTTACACCTTTCTAAATTTCTTTGAGGTTGAGGAATAAGGCTAGTAGGAAAAAAAATGATTCCACCAGCATAGTTGGAAAGTCTTGTCCTTTAGTGAAAAATGGGAGGGGTACGATTCAGGATTTTGTATGGATACACACCACTCATCTAGCAAAGTAGGCTTGGTGCCTTTTTAGAGAACCAAATCCATTATTGACGTAGGTCCAACAAGGTTTTGCATAGTATTCTTCAAGGTAAGCTATTATTATCTATGGATGAATATTAATATTGGGAATGTGAGTCTATGTTTCAATTGTCTTACTTCAGTTATGTGTCGAAAGATAAAAATAAAATGACTACAATTTTAGATATTGATCACTTAATCTTGTTAATTTTGGAGGTATATATATATATATAGTATTATATTTATATTAATTTTATTTTAGATATATATATATGATCATGAGCTCGGGGGAGATATAAGAAAAATAACGATTTGAACTTTAGTTCAAGTATTATATTTGGATATTTATTAAAATCATCTTTTGGGGACAAAGGGTGAATTGTTAGTGTGGACGATTTGAAAGTATTAGTTGGAGGACATGTCAGTTGGGTTCCATTTATATGTTTAAGGTGAAAAGTGATGTTAATGTCTTATATGGTTGAATGTTCTTTAATAAACCTAACAATTAAGGGTTTAAATACGTTTATAATGGCTGAAATATATGACAAGTAGTTTGTTCAGTGTGTTTTTATGTAACAAATGATAGACAGCGTTGAATGCATTTCATAAGTTTACGATCAAAGAAGAAAACCAAAATTACATTATAATTTGAATCCAAAAAATAGTTAATAAGTTAATGTCGTTAAAAAATATCATGTGAAGTGAGAAGGTGAATGTGATCCTCTTCATAGGGCACCCGAGAGGGAATGTGGAGGGTTATTTGGAAAGAAAATGTCCCATATAAGATTAGACATTTTCTGTGGAGGGTCTGGCATCATGCTATTTTTGTCATAGGAAACATTTTCATAAGAAGCTGGTTTTCCCATGTGGAGCAAGAGACAAATGCCAGGTTACCATAGTCTATTACTCTAACTCTGCACCTAACATTTTGGTTGGGAAAATGGGACACAATCAAATGCAATGCTCCCTTACCATCTATAAGGATTAACCAACCAAACTCTGTAATCCTAAATTTTTTGGTATATTTGGAAAGCAACAAAACAACACTCTTAATCCAACCATTGATCATTGACAGTTAAAAGCTCTTTTAATTTTCATACCAGAACTCATTTCTCAAGAGGTTGCATAACAGAAGAATGCTTTACAATGTTCTATACTTTTGTTTCTATCATTCAATGAATTTCATATATTGTGTCTAACTTATAAAACGTAAAATGTGTCTTACACAGTTTTTGACCATTTTGCTGTTCCTAAATTAAATATGGAATGTGTCATGCAAGAAGCTAATACTTGATACCTTGACTGTGCCATAACAGCATCACCAAGAGTTACCTAGATGATACTATAATACCTTGCACAGTAGATAATTTAATTCTCTCTACATTTGTTTCTAACTTAAAACATAAAGGGTCTTAATCAGTTTTGCATTTAGTAATTCTTTTTAGCATGGAATCAAGGTGATGAAAGTCGAAATTCGAAACAGACAACAGAGGTAAGAAAATGATTGGGGAGAATATAAAAGTGGTTTAAAATTGAAACAAGCTACAAAATGCATACTCTATAGTAGCTTGTATTAAATTAATGGTATGGTGATCAAAGGTGAAAACTGATAGGGACTGCTACATACTGGGTGTTTCTGTTTTCTCTTCTTTTCCCATATTGTCACACGTCATTACATACTATACATTGATCTACTCTATAATTATTAGATGACTCGAAGTTGGTGAATGTCTCTGTCAATTTCCAATGACACACTGGTTTAATAATTTAGATCCCTTCTTTCAGAGTTCTGGTAATATAAGTCACGTTATTTTACAGATTTGTAAATGCTTGTCACTTCTTAACTGAACAAACAAACAAGTACTTGAGTTCATGCCACATTTATTTCAAATTGTAAACTCATTCAGCTTTAGACCAATGAATAGTTTATACATATTCGAAACTTTTTAGTGAAATTTCAAAGCACACTTGTTTTATTTTTGGACTGGAAAACTGCAGAGTTTAATATATGTTACATCTTCTTGGAAGCTAGATCAGTTATATTAGTTTATTCAATATTTCAATGGACTTTGATTTCCCTTAATGCAATAGCATTCAGATGGGGGAAATAGTATTAAAAAAAAAACCATTCACTCATCAATGATTAAGAGAGCAATAATTTTATACACTTTCTGGTTTCTCACAACTCCTCCTTTTTCTTTGTTTCTATCTTTTTCACTCATCACATCAAATTTCTTATTTTATCTTCCATCTCTTCTTATCTCTCTCCTCATCCAATGGAGGATACACCTCACAGAATCTTTATTCATTATAGAGTAGTAATAGAGGAGGAGGGAAGTAGGCCTAGGCTGGGAGAGATGGACTTGTGCACAGGGAAGACAAAGATAAAGAAAACAAAAAAAGAGTCACAGAAAATCACAATCAATGAAGAACAGAAAAACACTTTTATCCTTCAAAATGATGAATGGCTTTAAAATTATGATTCACATCCACCTTTGTGTTTTTATGGATGCTCAAAAACACAAAGATCCCATCAATTTGGTACAACAGGAAATTGAAATCAGTTATGTTTGCCACAGCATATTTGATTCACAGTTTTCATGGCTAAAAAATGCTCTTATACCCCAAGCAGCATGAACCAATATCTCCATTGCTAAGTAACCACCAGCTACATACTCACTATACATCCAAAATGTGAAAGAACTAATACTACTACATCACCACTGAAGAAGACCCTTTATAGTGATTCAAGGAAACCAGTTTTTGAGAGAACAGCATTCCTCACTTTGCTAAGATCCCTACCTTTGAGGGTTCTCCCAGCACCTTCTAGAACAGAAAAGGAGGATATCTGACTCCTTGCAAGCCTTCTGGCAATAAACTCATGTGGAGGAAGCTTTGAATCTGCCTCATCATTTTCCTCTCCATCCTCATCACTATCCCCACCATAGTTACCAGCACCATCATCCTCACCATCATAATCAGCATCAAACCTTGAAGTACTATTCTTGGCGGGGTTACTCGTATAAATTTTTGACCAGTCAGGAATTTTGACAGGTGCTGATTGCTGAAGAACCTTGGCTTCATTGGAGGAATTACCACTGCTATTGTTACTGCTATTGCTAGATCTTGGCACCATTCTGGCTGCACTGGGCCTAGCAGGAACAGGAACAGCAGAGGACTGATCCTTCTCGTTGAACATGCGAACCCCAGAAGAACCATAATCACTTCTGTTCTTGATAACATCCCAAATTTCTTCTTCATCAAAATCTCCATCTCTCAACGAATTCCATATCCCACTGTGCTTCCTGCCTGGACTATATTTATCTCCCATTATCAATCAACCACTTCCTGCATAACACAAATCTGAAGAAACTTGTTTCAAATGGTTGAACAAGAATTTTCATTTCAGTAATTCAAGCATAAAACAGAAGAGAAAAATTGGAAGTTGTAGGGAGAAAGCAAGAAGCAAAAGTGCAGGAATAAATAAATCACAGGAGGTGATTATACAGTGAGATATGTGATATTTTTTACTGAGGAAAAATTAGAACAACCTTATTCTGTTGTCCAGGAATCAGAAGCTTGAAATAATTCAACTTTTTGAAGATTCTAAAAGGGGTTCCTGAAATATGCCAAAGAAAACAAAAAAGTTGAGTTGATAAGAGTGGAGTGAGGTTGAATTGTGATAGCATGAGAAGTTGAATTTGACATATATGTGATGGTGAGTGAAAATCCAAAAGGTTTGGGTTACCTGAATATGTATTTGCAGAGTTGAAGTGTAATGAAAGCAGCACACAGAGAAAGTGAAGAACACTGCAGCACCAAAATCTGAGGGAAAGAATAAGACAGTGTTGTCCACAAAATGATGGCTGTCCAGTATTTAACTCTACAACCTCACACCATTAACTCTTTTATTTATTTATTTTTTAAAATTCTATTAATGTAAAATATATGTTAAAATTAATGATTAATTTCTACTTTTATATTTTTTTGTCTATTAAAAAGAGTGAAAGCCTGAAACATTATTGAACATTTGAGTAAATTTATTCTAGCTGAGCATTTTTAATCTCTTTCTGTGATTATTTTTAACCTCTTTCTGTATTTTTTTTTTGCCGAATCTTTCTCTAGATTTTCCTAGTAAGTAATATATGGGGGAATCTCTAAAATCTAGAATTTCGTAATAATTCATGAATAATTGTTACATAGAATTCAATTAAATTCATAAGCATATTATATTAATATTAAATGTAATTCATTATTATAATAAGATTAAATTTTGTATAAATTAATTATTATGTTTTTTTCCAAAAATAATGAAGTTTCAAATTAATAATAGAGTAAATTAATGAAATTTCATATTAATAAATAGAGCAAATAGCAGAAATACTTTTATTTTTTTTAATTACAGACTTTATTGTTCAAAATTCCGTCCATGAGATACAAACTTATACTTTTTATGATATTTGCAATTAGAGTTTAATACTGTGTAAAGCTCTTTCATGTATAAAAACTAATTCTTGTTAATAATAAAGTTATTATCATTTTTTACAAAAGAAAATAGAGAAAAAATTAAGAGTATAAAATGAGTTTATTATGGAAATAAAAAATGTCTTGCATATAATATGGAAGTTTGAAATATGCAAAAAAGTATTTCAAAAACTCTAGAAGGTGGTTTTTTATATGAAAAAAAAGTATTGTAACTAATGTCTTGGAGTGTTGAAGTTCCATATTAAATAAAGATCTTACAAAAAAGTCAAGTACTATGCTAATTAAATGAAATAATAAATGAAGTAAATTCACTCAACATATTTAATCTTGTGTATTAATTAAAATTAATGAATAATGATTAACTTATACAGAAGACCGTGCTATTGCACATTACATTTATTAATTATAATTATTTCCCAGATACATGAACTTGCATAACAATAAATATATTTTAAAAATTAATATTATAATTAGTAATTATTATAAAGTCCATACCAAGAATATGATTCTTCGTTATTGTATTGAAAAAATCAAATCAAATTTTTATTATTAACTACATCCCTAAAAGAAAGTTGATAATTTATTTTATTGATTTTTGCGTGAAAAATACTACCTGCAAAACATTTATTTTATATTCTTTTATTTTTCTTAAGTGTGCTTTTAGAATTTAACAAGGTCCTAAATTTTCATTGTGTGTGAAAAATGTTTGAATTTGATGCACATAATCCAAATAAATCAATATATTCACTTAAAGAATACTAATTTAGTAAAATTTGAAAAACAAACTATACTGCTTTGCTAAAAGAGTCAATATTTTAATTTTCATTACATTAACAAGTACTATTAGTTTTCTTCTCCATTATGACATTTCATTATTAGCCATGAATAATGAAGCATTAAGAGTTATAGATATTTAATCGAAAATTAACTCATTTTTAGGTAACTGACGTGTAAGATAATATGGTTAGATAACGATCTAACAAACAAATTCAACAATAAATCTAATAAAAAATAAATTTCAATAAAATAAGATCTGATTTGTGATTTTAATATCATATTAAAAAAATAAATCTAATTTAATATAATAAAAGTAATTTATAAAATAAAATTTAAACTTATTTATATACTATAAATTCATTTTATATATAATATATGTGTAACTTTCAACAAATAAATTATTATTTTTCAAATCAAAACTGAAAAAACGTTTTAAAATATCTAAATAAGAAACACAACAAGATGCTTAGAAATTGGAAATGAGTAGATACATTACATTCCCTTTGATTGGTTGGCTAATAGATAAAGACTGGCTATCATTATAAGGAAACAGACAAAAATGTCAAAGTTTTCAACACAAGAACACAAATGTTAGGAATTTGTGAAAGAAGTATGATACACACACGACACCAGTGACACACAAACATTTTTGTTTTTTCTTCAACATAATGTCAATCTAAAGACACATGATTAAAGAATATGATAAATAGAATAATAATAAGATTAATTTAAAAAATATAAATAAAGATAATGTTTTTTGAGAATGAGGTTTATAATATGGTGAAAAAGGATGAAAGGAAGGCAGCATAGCACTGCTAGCTCATTACTTAACCTAATAAACCAGTAATAAAAGTTAGGTATAAAATTAAAAAAGCTAAAATGCTATTTTAGGAGAAAGAAAAGTGGCACACGGATAATCTATGTTCTGTCGAGCACAACACATATGGTCTGTCAAAGATTTTATGTTATTTTTCTGGAAAAAGAAAAGCTGCGTAGGAAATGGTCGAGGAAGTTCGAGGTGTTGAAGAAGGAGACGAAGGTGGCCCACATGCAGCAATTGGCAATCCACATTCAACGTACGTAGATATCCATCAGCAACACAGAGCAGAAAATTTTCAGCGTCTTAGCCCAATCAACATTCATTAATAGTGGGAAGCATATGTAAAGAATCTGCAAAGATTTCCACCGTTGGAGCAGAATCTTCTTGCTAAAAGCTAAGCCATGCACAGCATTCATACGGCGGCCGAAAAGTGACAGCACTGTGTCAAAACAATAAAGTTGATTAACAAAAGAGAGTTATATCATGTAACAGACAATGTTGTTTGATATTATAGGATTACGTGAAGTTTTGTATATACTATATGTAATAGTAGGGATGTATTGATAGTCAGATAGGATATACCACACTAAGTGAAGAGTTTTGTCGTGTTTTATATATTTTCTACTAAATTTAATAATTTCACATAATTTAAAAATTAAAACTTATAATAATTTAAATATTATATATATATATATATATATATATTTAAGATAAAAATTCATGATAAAATAAATAATATCTCAAAATATCAACGGATCTCTCATTGACTGGACTGTCAACATATTTAGAAAAAAATTAAGTAAGATTGTCATTTCTAATCTCAAGTTTTTATAAACCGAACAATTATTCAATAACAACAAAATGTCGATTAAGTATCACATTTTAAATTGAACATATTTACAAATAAATCATATTTATCAATTTTTATATCGTGATTAGACTTAAGACTTTTCTTTTAATTAGTTGTATAAGTAACTTGAGTGTTGAAGTGTCTTTGACAAGAACTACTTACACAGTTTTGAGTTTAAATACTGAAAACTGAAAATAATCTTCTAATAGAGAGCTAAAAGTACACTGAAGAATCAAGATAAAAATATAAGGAAGTATTTTAAACGAGATTCTCAATCCACCCCAAAACAATAACGATCGAAACACTTTATTTCTTTGTTTTTGGGATGGTTGGGAGAGAGGTTCTTGAGAAATGCGTATGGTGATGAATCTCTTGAATCCAAAGTGTAGTTTACGCAGCTGACAAACACATTTAATGAATGAGACAAAACCCACTTCACTCAAAAGTAGTTCTTGCATGTGTGAACGATGGGAATTCAGAGGAGTTTGCAATTGTGGATGAATTTTGCTGATGGTAAACATTTACTTACATGTAATAGGATTTTTTTTATTGTAATAATAATATCTTCTTATTCTTTATTTTTATTGTCTTTTTTTTTTTGTAATTTACGGAAATAAAAGATTCTAATAAAAGAAAAGTAGCATTTATTTACGTCTAATGATTTTATATTATTTAAAAATTGAAATTTAAAATATTTAAAATATTAATTATTTTTTTATTTTTCAAAATATTTTTTAAAGACAAAATCATAATTCATAAATTTTAAAATAAATAATATCTCATAAAAAATAATTATTCTCAATATGAGATAACAATTTTGATACTTCTCAATCTTATAACATGTATTTACTTTATATGGTTTAGCCTTTTGCAATCTTTATTTTGTCCTGTATTCGAATCCTGAAATAATAAGATATGGGATGAAATAATTAACATGGTAATAATTTATTAACTTTGGAGAAGTTAACTTCCAGAAAGATTATTAGAGATTCCTTTTAACTATCCTCAAAAGGTTGCAGGAAATTTATATTGTTAGGTTTAGAATAATTGTTAATGGTTTTCGTCACATGAAATATTTATGTCATGAAAGACGATTTTGTCTCAATGCTATATATATCATTTTCAAGTTTCTCATAACATACTTTACATGTGCATAAATTTTTGTGCTCATTTAATATAATATTAATATGTAATAGGATATGTTACATGCGAATTAATATAAACATTAATTTTAATCAATAATAATAAATAATGATAAGTTTCAATAATAATGATAATAAAGTTGAAATAAAGTGAGAGTATAAAAAATGTTATTTTCTAACCCAAATCCTCCTTTAAATAATAAATATATTATCTAACAAGATATAACAAACATATTTATTTATCCTAGCGTTAAACAATTAATTACCGCGTGATTTATTCATGCTTATTTAATTCTAAAATTATCATAAATATGATAATATGAGTTTGAAATATTTTCCAACGGTAAATTATATACACATAGTATATTAAAAAATATTAATTTTTTATCATATCCCTCCAATTTCAAATTATGTTTGAATCGCTTCCATTTATTTTGTCATTCTGAAATGGCTACTGCACTTTTTTTTTCTTTGATCACTGTTTTATAGAATTTTAGTCATTTTCATAATTTTATCTCTCTTTGTTCAATGTGCTTATTAGCTAAAACATATTTTTTGTTCTTATTTTATTGTTTGCGTTATGACTTCAGAGAGTTCGTTGGGGTGACAAAATACGTATGAGATAACGTATATTATTAAATTAAAACGAGTCACATGAAGAATTATAGTCATAATATGTGATAAAAATTAAGTTAAAATAATTTATACACAGTCTTCTGTAAAATTATACAATGATTATATATATATATATATATATATATATATATATATA